TTTTCCATAAATGAGAAAATGCGCTAAAAACGCCATTTAAGCGACATCTCGTGAATAAATTTGCACAATTAATGGATGTGGTCAAAAACCACGACTGCTTCTACGCTCATCAAAAATGCGTCGTCATCGAAAAAATGTACAAGTATGTAAAAATGTGTATTTTAATTTCAGAAATTCTAGTCATGATTTTATCAACGCGTGTATCTATTCAACGAATATTATCATCTAAAACTTATCCATAAGTTCTGCTTAAATTTAAGGTGCCAATTAGAAGTAATTTGTGTAGCGCACAGAAGCTGCTTAAGCCACGATAGTAGATCATTCGGTGATATGTGCCACATTGCTTAGTCCTTTATTACGAGGTAATTTACATGATTTTTAAAAGCGGAATTTTATAAAAAATGCTTGATTTCAAATGTTCAATTGCTTGTATGAATTTTTTGTATTATATTGCTTCCAAATGTTAAAAATTTTTACCCGTACAAATGCGTACAATGACTGCAAAACTCGTGCATTATTTTTGTAAATTTTTAATTTTGCAAAATTTAAATTTATTTGTTTTGCAAATTTACTAAAAAAATCGCTGCTATATCGCTGATATAGAACAAACTATTGAAATTTAATTTGTATAATAAATTATCATGGGATTATTAATTTTTTCTCGATCTTGTACAAAGTACATTACTCGCACAGCTGCTACACAGCACTATACAATATACATTTCTACATGTATAGTAGCCACATTTCTACAGTACAAACATCTCGAGCTGCGTCTGCGATCCTTGGATGAATGTTTCATGTTTTGAATGTTGAACAAACTAAATACTGAATTGCAGTTGACTGAATTCAGACAACTGCAACTGTCTTATGAAAGTTCAGTCTTATCGGAATTTCATGGAGTTCTTTAATCAGAATTGAAAATAAAATACTTTAAATAAGTGTATATTGATGGTATTGAAAATTTCCCGAATCGACGCTATTTTAACACGTCGATTGCGGATAAGACTGACAAGAATTTTTCAGTCTGGGCATTGCTCTCATATTGGCAAATTTTTTAGCAACATGCATGGCTAACTAACTTAATAAGAAGTCTTTTAGATCCGAGAATCCCGTTGTCTCTAAGTAATCCAGTGTATAATATTCAAAATTAAATAATGCCACTCAGCCACTCAAGTTGTGACCAAATCTAGTAAATATTTGACGTGGAAATTTTATTTGAATATGAGATTGAAATGGATTGCTTAAACCTAAAGTATTATCTGTGAGTAAATCTGCATGTTAGGATTAAATATAATTTTTAATTTTCTAAACTTATCCTCTCCGCGCATGGTTTTGCTTTACTATTCTTCCAATATTAATAAAATTTCAGGCCCAGTCACGATAAAAATCGCGAATACGCGACCGAACTGCCACGTGATATTTTGAACGGTTTATAAAACAAGTTTTACAACCGTATAATAAATTGAATATCTCAATTCCATTTAAATAAACGCAATGGGGAGAATTAATTCAAAATTTAGTTGTAGTTTCCTTATTTTAAAGTAATCTTATAACGGTTTATTAATTCTAGGCAGCAGGCCGTTCTATGTTGTTTATCGTGTCAAGGATCGCAAATTCAAGCCGTTCTATGTTGTTTATCGTGTCAAAGATCGTAAATTCAAGCCGTTCTATGTTGTTTATCGTGTCAAGGATCGCAGATTCAAGCCGTTCTATGTTGTTTATCGTGTCAAGGATCGCAGATTCAGCTCACATAAGGCAAGGGTATCAGCAGGGTGTCAGGCTATGTACATCCATTCACTATCTTACCGTCGTCGATAATCCACAAAATCATCAAAAATAAAATAGAAAGAAATGTCGCAAAAGCTAAAACTATTATAAACTGTGAGATTGCGAAAATCCTTGTCATCTCTCTATATTTAAAAAAGTTCGTCGAGATCAATTATAAATAAATTAAGATATTAAGCCTGAGAAGCTATGGTTTACAAAAAACTGGCAGGATTAAAAAATTATTCATATCATTCTGCTATGTGATGCCATCTGAGTTAAGAAATGTATTCTGCGAGAGATTTTTTTTACTAAAACCAATCACGTGAATTATACAAAATAATGAGAAAAAATAAGTTAACAAATGATTTTTCCACACAAAAAATAGTGAGAAAATGTTCTGATTAGCAGAAAACATCAGAAAACATACATAGCAGTAAAAAACACCAATGATGCCTCATAAATTTCTATCACATTAAAATCTGGGCGCAAAAATTTGGTTGTTAAAGCTAACAGCATTAAATATTTGACTTGATACATAATATATAGATAACGACACTATTATCTATTGCTACAACTCCAACATTACTTATAAGCTACACATGACTTATTTCTAACTTGAACACACGGCCATCAATATTACTGCTAAACAGTCATAAAGCCACAACATATAAACCCTTTATCGGCCAAGCGAATGAATCGTCTCTCTTATTATAGTGCTGTTCGTATGGAAATAATTATTTGTAAGATTCTGTACCACATGGTGGACAAATATAATAAAAGAGATCGCAATTCAAAAAATAACATCAAGATTTATCATTTAAATATATACCTAAAGAGAACATTTGGAATTGATTAGAGCATATAATATGATGAAGGAACAGACAAATGATTTACATTCATATCGATCGTCATAAAATCACACAGTTTTCTTAAAAACACTTAATGTTAATTTAGATGATCCTTGAAACTTTCGCAGCAAACATGATGAACTACCTACAATTTTAGGTAAAAGTTTATAGAAGAAGAACAACAAGAATTAACTCAAATCTTTCGGGGTGAACTATCATTATTTTGTCAACAATGTAACTAGATATAAATTTTTTGGTTGAAAAAAATTGCAAAAACCATCATAATTGAGGATAATTTGATTTAGTAAATGCTAGAAAATGTAGATTATTTTTATTCATTCTATCATTCCCGCCTTTCAACGACTTTCATTATCAAAATGTCTTAAACATGATTTAAACAGCTGTCGTCGAGGAGGAAAAAAAACACATATTCCTACGCCATCATCACTAAGAAGGCTTAAATTGAAATTCGACCATAGATTATTTCTGTGCGGAAAACTTCGCTATTTCGAAGCAACTATTAGACAAATGAGAAATAAGTTATCATATTTCAATAGGATTTATCTAAAATTAAATGAGAATTTAGTAATGTTCCTCCGAAAGAATAGCTAACGAGGCATCATGCATTACAAAAAGTTTCATTAAAAAATTTCTAGCTCTCCTCCGGCATTTAAAAGTGATTAAACATAATAGTTTTTGCCGGAAAGACCTAATTGTACTTTTTGAGTAGCCGGCAAAAAACTGCCAATCTCGGAGGACATTATCGAGTGTTACTTGATGAACATAGCCCTGCTTCATCCTTACAATGATAATGTGATTTTTTTTAAGTACCGAACTTCAAACTGTCAAACATCTAATGTGCATAAGCGCAAATATTTCTAAAAATTCGTGACTGTTGCTTTTATAAACCTTTTTATATTATACATGTATTTATTGAAAGAGCACCACAGTTTTGAGCGTCAATGTCGGTCTGAAATCTAGTGTCATGCATTTATTCACATTTTCACATCAGAATTGTTACAATATAATAAGTGATAAACTTTATCTAAATTAATAATTCGCTCAGACAAAATTTAAGTCATTATCAAGAGACATGAAGCAATAACAGTATCAAAATTTCGTTTTAATTGAATGCCTTTTTTAAACAGGACTATCTATTCCCTTGAAGAACTAATTACTGAATTTAATGACAGAAGGGTTCCAAAGCATCTTCATGTGCTCATAGCATTAACGATTTTAATTCCGACATAAACAACTCATTTGTTATACTTCAGTAATTATTACACGGGAGACAGAATTTTCCAGAAAAAAGAAAGACTTCTATGGACTTTCAATTTGAACTTTGAAATTCATTATATGATGAGACGCACGCATCTGCGGCAATTATTGGAAAGAAAGTGTTTGCCGTTGCGCCGAAGGTGTTTGCAGACGACGGTGGTTGCGGGTTGTGTTCATCCACTTCGACGGGCGGCTTGCCAACTTCTTTTATTCTTCACGCAAGGTAAAGAGCTCGAGCCGCCTCCAACTAACTCTTCTATCTGCAGAAGAATATCCATTTAACTTCGGGGATCATTAAGGAACTTTTCGTCCTAGAAATATGCAAATATGTCCCTCTTGCCACTGTGGCACAGAAAGGTACTCTAGAATTTCTTTCTTCTTGGTCGTATTTCACTTCCTTTCATTATTGGCTTACGGTGAAATTTGAATGGTATCGCGCTGGGAAAGGGATAAATGAAAAGATATTTGTTGGTTTTCGTAAACGCAATAGTCTTGCTATAAATGTGCAGGTCATCAGTTCAAGACTTTGGAGTGATTTACTAGTAAAATTATCCGTAACGAAGAAAAGTTTGACCAGAGACAGTGATGCGACATCCCCGCTCATTCTTCATCTTTCCAATATACGGACGAAATCTTGTTCATCAAATTATGAGGTAAGCTTTATGAGATCATGTGTATATTTCTAGAATCAGCAGGAGCAAAAACAAAAGTAGAGCAATGTCATGTTCGAATGTTTGCTTACATGGGCTTTCTTGATTGTCAAAATATCTGTTTTGTGCGAGTTGGAACTATCCATTCTGATAACAATCCAGCTTTCTCGAACATTTGGACTTAGATTGCAGTTAATTTCAGTAAAGTTTTAATTTCAATTGAGCTGCATTTTTTCAGCTTCGATCAATATCTTTCGTTATGTGAGAAGAAAATCGCTGGGATATGAGTAAATCATCAAATTATAACTGTCTTTTTAATGAGTTAGGCTATATGTAAGACTAATAGCAAAACCTAACTATTTGGCTAACATAAAGTTTGTCAACTCACCAATTCACCGCCACCTCGCACATTTCATTCACGCTGGAATACTTGCGCTAATCTCGACTGGCTTGTAGTTCATTCCGTGAGGGCTGCACACGTTCCGGTAGATTAGGTTCACTTCTTGGACATCACGTGGCGAGTTGCTAAGGTGGTGGCCTGAAACTATCGGAGATTTCGGGGTGAAGGAAGACTTGATTTCTGACTCAACGACTCTACCTTCATCATTATTTTGGACTTGATTTTGTTCTGTATGGCGAAACGACGTTGTCGACGGAGCGGTTGAGGCATTTATTTCTGTGGAAAACGTGCGATGCAGAGAAGTTGTCGCAGCAACATATGGAACAGTGTTTCGGTTTTGATGTTGGTTGTTTTCCTGATAAAATTTTGGTGTGGGTTGCAGTTTCACTTCACTAGAATAAGCGTGGAAAACAGGAGAAGAATGTTGATCGTGAAAGAATGAATTTGGAAACGGCAAGGAATTAGAGTCAAAACTTTCCAGTTGTTCCTGGCAACTGTTATATACATAATTTTGAGAATCCTTGCGAAGACCGCTGTTGGGTGCGTATAAATCACCTGGGGCTGTCTTTAGAAAATTTTGGATATCTACCCTTTTTGCAAAAACGACATTCTGAATGCGGCTATCGGCTGCATCGGAATTCACGGGCTGTGTGTTTTGATGAATAACTTCAACGTCGTCGAGGCAGTGATATATGAAATCATCGTAACTGCTGTCACCCGCATTATTTTTACCGACAGATTCTTCATGGAGGTTTTTATTTAGATCTGATATAATGGGTGCATCTTCACTGTTAAGGAAGCTCATAGACTGCCTTGTATTATTGGAATCTTCGTTTTCAATTAAGTCATCTCTTCCGAGGGGGTTACTCAAGTGGGATTTATTCTGTGTAGTCTCACTTTCGGCGAATTCCTCTTTTTCGAGGAAGTTGACAGATTTATGATCCGCATCATCATTTTCATGGAAGCCAGAGAAGTTTTTGTGAGGAGGAGAGCTTGAGTGCAGAGGGTACTTAGAGGCAAGTGAAGAAGTGGTGGTGTGGTGGGGAGCGTGCAGAAGGAGTTTCGAGTGACGCGAGAACCAGAGTTCTCGGTGCTTCTGGTAAGATAAATCCGGTAGACAGAATGCCTCGCATGCCGATCTGTGGGAAAACGAACAACATCAGCATTAGTAATTTTTATATGACGGAAATCAAGTTTGGCAAGCACATCATTAAAAGAAAAATTAAAAATACATATTTTCCGATGCATTAAACCAAAACACATCAACATTCAATCCTCTAAACTCAGTGAATAAATCAGTTTTTGAAATCAGAATGGCTAATACGATCACAGTCGAAAACCACGTTGATATTCCACGTTAAAAAAAGGAAAATCATTGTATTTGTTAAGACTTGGGTATTCTGGCGGTGCCTAGTGGCCAGGGTTCGGTCTACTGGCCGTAACTAGTTGCTAGGTTTAAAGGAACGAACAGCTCACTAAATAATCCCATTAGATTTTTTACTTTGGAAAATTTTGTTATTAATGACGAATGACACAGATTTTAGTCACCCTGACTAATTCGACGCTATAAGTCCTATCAATAGAAAGATTAGATCAAAAGAAAGATGGGACCACTATTCATATGCAAATACCTACAGAATGTTAAATTTCAGTGAGTGTCAACATATTATGCTTGCATGACAAGCACTGTGCCCTTTAAAAATGCTGAGACGCTCGCGGCTCTTGCTGCCTTTACATCGCTTCTTTAATTTAAACTCGCACCGAATATAAGTCCTGAAAGCAGGTCGGTCTGGGAGCACTGCTTTTGAAAGCACGCCAAATTAAATTAGAGACTAAACTTCCAAGAACATTTTTCTTTTTGTTCTCGGTGGACGCCAAAGCTCCAGAGAACTGAGGTCTTATGCCGACTACAAACAGATCGGGCGCTGTTTGCCTGAGCTGATCTAATAAGTTGATTTTTTGCCCGGGTGTTGTCTAACTCGGCAATTAAAGAGGAAACTTTAGATGAGGCCATTGCTTTACTTCGAATTTCCTGAGGGCAGGAAACGCCATTGTAGAGACGGAATTGACCAGCTCTCAATTTGAAAAGAAGATAAACTTTGTGACTTAACAATGAGTTGTTCACTTTGTGTGAATTATTTGGAAATTATGTTGCTTAGTAATGCACAAGCAGATCGTATAACAGGCAAAACTTGATTAGTATGAACAAAATTGCGAATAATGGGGCGGGATGTTATATGAAAATTAATTCATTTTTTTACCGGAAAGAATTTTACAAAGTTGTGTTGTAGTGAATTAATAATACCATAAATGATTCTTGAAACATAAAATTATATTTGTAATTGTACGATATTTGATAAGAAATTATCTCTTCCATTCCGCCTAACTTTGATTTAAATAGAAGGAGTCCAGGAAAACGATTGCCTCGCACGACAGTCTCCGCTGATTGGATTAGGCCAATAATTATCAAGCCAATTCTGTTCGACTACGGCCGATTTGCTGAAATAATTCTCGAGTTCCAATGGAACTTCTCCAACTTTGCGCGTGGCTTTGATAATCTGGAAAAAATATGGAAATGTTTTAGTACTCGCCGCACCAATTCAACTCGAGCATTTCTATCTGAAAGTTTAAATCAGTAGCTGATGTTTTTTTATTTTTTTTAATCATTGCGTAATATGAATAAAAAATTTCTTAGGAATTATCGTTCAGTTATTATTACTTTGTCAAAAAGCATTTCATGGTGCTAATTTTTGATGAATAGGATGACATGAAATGCGGAAAGACCTTTATTGAAATGTAGTCAAAATCGTACAAAGGAAACTGTGGGAGATATTGTTTAAGGGGTCCGAACAAAAGATTCTCATTGAAAATGTATCCATGAATCGTAGTTTTACAGTAATTTAATTACAAAGAAAAAATTTGCATGGCTTTTCAATGAAAGAATAACTCAAAATAACTCCAATTTAAAAAAAAAAATCCAAGCATGTTGACGCCTTTTAATCGAAGATCGACCAACAATAACTGGATGAAAACTTGGCTATTTCATTTTGTTGAGGTCATATATAATGTCATATTAAAAGAAGTCAACTATTTTTACACGCAGAAGCTAAACATTCAGAAGAGCTTTTCATATTCACATTGACAATTTTGAGCAAGAAACAAATTCATCGCTGGATAGTGTAAGCGTGCTGTTTCTTATATCAAGAAAATGAATATTCATTCTGTAAATGTTTTGAATTTAAATATATTTTACTATCTTTACATGATGGTATCCTTCAAATGGAATGTTCTTCAAAAGATTTTTTGAGGCCTCAGGATAAAATTTTATTTTTATTCTCGCGCTAAAATAACCTGAGCCAAGTCTTCGTTAAATGAAATTCAAACGCTTGGAGCAAGTCTTAATTTTTCTAATTCCCTACCTTGACAATATTCGTAACTAGAAATATGACGAACAAAATACTCCAGCAAATATCGAGCAATGCATTTCACCCTAACTTAGGATGAAGGAATTCAGTTTTCCTGGTGACAGCTTGCGCTGAAAAGTCCCGCCTCCTGCACAGAACAACTGACAACTCAGTCCTGCAGGTCAATATAATAAGATCTTGGACGGTTGACGTTTTCGGCTGCATTTTAAGTGGCGAATTTCTGGACGTCGCCCTGGGCAAGTTTAATTTCCGGTAATTTATTCACTAGGTACTAATATTCTGATTTGTTTTATTGTTTCTGCTCTCTGGCGGAGAGGCAAGGTAATTTTTAAAAGCAACGCAAGCGATTTTTTCCATATAAAAATGCCAGATTCGAATGAAAACTTTTAGATTAACGTCTTAACTTTAATTTTAAATATGCCATTGACAGTATTGAGCCAAATGAATTTGACAAGGTAAAGGCAAGATTTATTTCAATATAATTGATATAATTTTTTAATGAAAAATAAAAGAATGACCTCGAGAAAATTGATCACTTCTACAATCAAGCGCCAAAATTTTAACGAATAAAATAGCGATCTGGTCAATGCAACTATTTCTGATAAAAAAAACTCACCCACAAGGAGCCATGTCATCTTCAGGATCTTCGTGCACAAAATCTTCACAATTCAAGAGATGGTCTTTTTTGGAAGCCTTGAGCTTTTCATTATGAAATTTTTTGAAACTTCTGCGATTTTCTCCGAGTGATCCATCACTATTGTTGTCGATCATCTCGTAACACCAGGCTGAACTTTGCGCCCCTAACATGGACGGATAAGTGCCATCGGATTGGTGGTTGCTGACTTTAATGTAGTGTTGTTTAGCAACTTGTGGAGGCTTCAAAATGTACGAGGTTTCTTGGCGCTGAGGCTGGCTGATCTTCAAAGACTTCTGAACGTGAGCAAGAACATCGTGCTTTCGGAAGGTTTCAGTACCTCTCATCTGGTGACTTTGGGCATGATACTCCGTATGGTCGTAGACTTGGTCATTGTATTTGAAGAGAACAGAGCCATGATTCTGTGAGTGCAGGGAAATTTTCTTGCGACGATAAAAGCAAGCCATGACTGTCAGGAGTAACGTTGTTGAAGCCAAAGCCATAGGTAGGGCGAAGAAGAGTGCGCTACTCCCGCCGTCACTTGTTGGACCTGGTGAACAAGTGTGATAATTTGATAGGGTTAATCGGTTTCGCTAAAATGTTTAGGACAAATAGCAAGAAATAAGTTGAGTGACAGTCGAGCCAAAAGATCATTGAAAAATATAAAATCTGGTGAACGTAAATAAATTTAAATATAAAGTACAAATTTAGGGAATATCAGTTTACTAGCTTGGGGTTATCGGTTGTGAGCTACTAATCAACAAAATAATTAACTTTTAGTAATTCAATACTTTTTTATTCGGGGTAAAATACACCAGTTAAATTTTGGTTTATGAATAATGTACTCAGACAATAAAACTCTGGCAATGTTAGACCGTAAACATTTATACTTCCACCAAGTTTATCATATCTCCAACTTGGCAGTGTACTCAACACACATACGTGGTATTAAATGTATAGTAAATTCACACAAGCACACTAGTTGACCGCTCTCCCTCCTGACTGAGAAAGGCCTAACGACACTCAATAGGTTTACCCCATAGGTTTATTGGTTTTACGTTTTACCCCATATCAAGGTTTACCCAATAGAATCCAGTTTACAAGGATTCGATACAGGTAACACACAAGCCGCAATCGTACCGTCGATTTGCTTGTCTTGACTCGTCAACGTGAAAGGTGTTAGCCGCTGCAGGGGACGTCGATATTGGACCGCGTGCTCTAGTACTGAACTTGAGATTTTCGGGATACTTTGGCGCAGTAAATTCTGCGTTGCATTGAAAGTTTGAAAGAGTAAATCGGCACAAACATAAAAATGGAACGGGTGACCAGTCGATAATTAAAGTGGACTCTGCAATGGATTCTTTGACGCAAGCACAGAGTGTATGAAGTTCAGTTGAGCGTGAAGATCAAGTATTTTGGTGGGTGTTAGTTTTTCAATACGAGAATTTGTGACACATTCTTGCATGTTTTATATCAACCACAAAATATATCCATCGAAGTAGCAAAAACAATGCCCATATTTATAGCCGTTTTCATGCGATCTTACCATTTTTAACTGTTTTAGGAGCTTAAAAAAGATGATTTAATATATACAATATATATCTCGAATTTACATCAAACGGCCCATTGATTATGTTCGCAACAAACAAATTTCCCGATTTTGTCCCTGCAATGCTGTTGAATTTCAGGGATGGTATGGGAATTGGACTGGGATGAAGCTATAGACGTCAGAAAGATCGCGCTAACAAGCCGCTTCACTCAACTTCACGACCAGTTGCACTCTCCAAATTGCTCCGAAAATAAGTGATCGAATAACCCACGTCCAAAGTGCTCATCGAAGCAAAAAATGCCGGGAAAATAAAAAAAAATCAGAATTGGGACCGAAATCGCGAAAAATATCGGAACGCATTTATTTGATGTGTTCATTTCAAAAGCATTTATTTGATGTTCATTTCAAAATGTCACGTCCTGAAGAATTATGTACGAATAAGGTATTAGATTTCGCCGTTGAATGATATTCTAACCATATACTCGTATATGTTATTTTTTATGTTTTTCATAATGTTTTCGATTTTTTTTTGCTCTTGGTCGTATAACTAGCCCGATTAAATTACGTTCCATGTTCTTCAGAAGGATTGGGATGGCAATATCCTCATGATTCATTTGCAAATCCGAAAATGCATTCTAAAAAACTGTGTTAAATTTTATGTTCGTGAAAGCGGGATCGCTTTCAAAAGATTTTTTAGCAACCAAATAAATAATTTAGTCATGGCAACACCGAAATGAAAATTTTGTGGAAAGTTCAGTGAGGTTTCAGTCTTCATCTTATGCTGATTTTTAGAAGGCGCCTAGAGACAGAAGCAAACACCGCAGATTGCAATTCCTCGAGGCTCGCCTCTGTTTATTAAATGCAAATCGGTCTCTTCTGAGTTTTCCTTCAACCTTTTGGTCGAAACCAGAGGAACACCAGTGACTTCAGCAATCAGGCAGCATCTCAATAGCTGCTGCTTGCACGTTTAAATGAATTCAGCGCTGTAAACAGGACCTCAAATCTATTTTTGGAAATTTCCAAGAAATTTCGCAGGGTTGAAGACAGCCAACTCCTGCGATCACTTTACATTTGTGCCTCTCATCGGAGCTTTGTGAGCACATTCGCTGTGGCATCTGCATAATCTATTCCGACGGCGTCTCTGCCTTTGCTGCTTCTACTGCAGTCTAGTTCTCTCTAACCCCTGGACTTATATTGCACCTTAGATGCATTTAAGATACACGAGGAAGAAATGCAAGCCAAATGAAGAATTGCAAACTGAACTGATTATGTGTCAACACAAAAGAACTGATGTTAACACAAATAACAAAAATAACTTGATCAATGTAAGTTTAATGCGTAAAACGCTGAGGTCGATCCCGATCTTTATATCTTGATGTTTTTGCCCAAAATGACAGAAGTTACATAATTATTAAGTTAAATTTTATTAATTTCACTGAAATATAAATTAATAATCACATTTATAATTAGATACATTCTCAACTTGTTGCCAATTGTCGGTTGTAGTAACACATAGCAGACAACTAACTTTTATCATCATCAAACTTCCGGTTAAAAATATCCGCTAATTTTATCAAACTAAAATTATTGGTTTCAATAGAATTCAAATACATGAAATTGCCTAGAATTATCATGAACAAATGATAATAAAAGTAAATCAGCACTCTCTCGTGAGAAACGCTGTAAAAATTATTCTCTAGAAAAAAGTTGTTTGGAAAAAGAAAACTAAAATAAAAATAAAATGAAAAATTGACCGTTTTCTCACCTGAAAGGGCCATGGGCTTGAGCTCGTGGTGGAGATTCCGAGAAGCGTCCTCAAAATTTTGCGTGTTTTCTGCTGCGGTTTTGAAGCTGATCGTGGAAGAGGAGTACTGTGGTATCTGAGATACGGGGATGTCTTGGAGCCGCATGGGATTTTCTTCGCTTTGGCTTGAGAAATTATTGAAGGAATGAGTTTTAGTTCTTTTTAGAGTTGACGTTCGAATAGAGTTTGAAATCCCATGATCGAAAGATGCGGTTTTGAGTAAAAGTGTTTTGTTGGTTTTAGGATCAACGTCATGAACTTCCAACGATGTGTTTGAAGAAGTTCTATTTTGTTTTTTAAATAATTCATCTTGTGGTATTGATCCACGAGAATTATGGATGCCCGTTTTCCTGGACGATTGAAGTGCGTAAGATTTATTGTTTTCTGAAAAATCATCTAGTATGCTTACTGCATAGCTTTTTGAAATAGTAGGATCATCTAAATTAACAAAATGATGATTACTCTTGAGAAGAAAATTGTCAGAATTGTTCGCTTTATTCGTAGAGTTAGCTGACATTTTGAAACCGGTTCCCTCTTGCAAAATCGTTTCGAATGTCCAAGTGTCATTGATAGTTTTCTTTGCCTCGTCTAATTGTTTTATATCAACATCTGGCTTCAAATGGATCGTGTGAAGAGTTACAGGCTCTGAGATAGGAATTATGCTAAACAGGTCAACGTCGTTGTTCTCTGATTTTGCATGCGAGGAATAATTTTTTGAAGATTTATTTCCGAGAGACTGGAAAATGCGTGCCTCCTGCGCATCCCAGATGTTTCGATCAAGTTCAGTCCCTACCGGTGAATCATTGCCGAGGGACTGTGATACTTCGCGAGAAAACAAGCCTCTGAAAGTGGGGTTCTGAGTGGTATCTAGAGGAGATAAAATGTGATTCTTTTCAGGTTTGTCAGTTTGAAGAGAGAGTTTTTTGCGTTGTGAGGATTCCTTTGACATGGTAATGTAAGGTCTTATTTCTTGACCGTTGATTTTTCTGAAAAATCTCGACGAGTCGGACTCTTTGGTTCCCGTTCTGCCGATATCAAATTGATACTCGGGAGACTTCGCATCTGAAGAGGTCTCTTCATTGTCGGTCTCGTTCAACTTCGAATTTTCCTTTTTGGCCGACAATGGAGTCTCTTCAAAATAAACTCCAACAGTCTTTAAATTGTTCTTCGTGACTTTTGTAATCGATTTTTTATTATCGGTGTCACCGATATATGGATTGGAATCAAATAATTCTGAATAACTCATGTTATCGCTGGAGATTGGGAACTCAATTTTAGGAGAATTTCCATTATTCAAATTCGATTTCAAAGTTTCCACTGGAAATAAACCCGAACTCAAAGTTATTGGCGTATAGTTTGCAAATTTTAGATTATGCTGCGCATTTTCGAAATTGTACGATGAAGTAAAAACATCTGCTTCCCTCCCGCTCGATCGCTGAGACCAAAACGTGCGATGTCTTCGTGAAAAGTTCAGCTTTGGCCATGACGTTACAAGTCTTTTCTTCTTGTGATTTTGTCGTTCCAAAATCGGAGTTAGGAATTTCACGAATTGAACATCATTCCATTCAGACTCTACGTGGCTAGCCATTAAAGTTTTCGGTTCTGATTGATTGACCGAAGTAGAACGCCTTCCGGGAACCGAATTTTTTAAAGGTAGTACTGGTGTATGAGCTGTAGTATTCCGTACGGAGCTAAGTTTGGGATTAATTTGGTTTTCATCATTCACGCTCTCGTTTCCGAGGTTCAGTTCAAAAATGTGATGTTGGTCTTTGCTAATCTTCTTTACTGGAAATTTCTGTTCGCCGATTTCGGAAATTTCTCGTTTGTTGTCCGTTAGTTGGTGCTCGTATACGGTCGATATGTGTTTCTTAGCAAATCTTTCGTTATTAAAGGCCTCAGTTCTAAGCCCATGCAATCCAGCATCAGGTAATAAATTATCACCGACCTCACCCGATTCTTGCATTATACTCAAATCACTGATGTTCGCTGGTGCTTGACGATGCATCAAATAAATTTTCCTCGATTCTCCTACAGCAAATATTTTTTTGGAGTTTTGGTGAACCTTTCTTTTCCTACTCGTTCTTTTTCGTGGCCGATCAGAAGCTCGTTTATGATCTATACTACTGAAAATATCCCTCTCTAAAGCACGGGAAAATTTTTCCACATGCATGACAATGGGTATATTGTTTTCTACTCTACTATATATATCGCTAATACTGCTGGTTCTAGCTAATAGGTTAGTAGGCGAGCGATATGTTAATTGTGTTTCGTTCTCCAAGGAAGAATGCGTTATCGCGGACCCAGAACCTGAAAAAGAAGAAAGATAAATGATATGTTGGTTAGCTGCTAATTTTATTCCTTTGAAAGATGGTAAACTGCTAATATTATTTCTTTGAAAGATGGTAAACTGCTAATTTTATTTCTTTGAAAGATTGTAAACTGCTAATTTTATTTCCTTGCCATGTCATTGAATAGGAAACGGGAAAGTAAATCCGTAAGATTTTTATAGCCATAATAATCTTTAATTACTTGTAAAGTGCAAAAATATTGAGCGCAGAAAATAACTAGATTATTTATAAGTAATAACTAGTAAAAATGTCATAGCTTGACTGAATTGTACGATCTAACTATACGTCTCATATTGTCTCCTCTTCGAAATTTGACAATTTGTTCGCCCCGTTCAATATTTTTTGCCAATTTTTGAAACCGCGAAACTCAATCGCATAAATTTCGGCAGTAATTTCCTCCGATTGAGCTTCTTAGTTCGGCAATCAAGCTTCGCGATTGCATTGCGTCCAATCAAGACCGCCCCCCACCCTCAACCTCGCCTCACGGCGTCATTTTGCAAAACTTCGCTGAAAACACGCGTCGATTTTCAAAAAGTCGCTTATGATGGACGCTGACGCTAGCATTATTTCTTTGCACTTAAATTAAGGGTTTTCATTTGAGGGCTTAAAATTCATTTATGTCCCATAATAAAAAAAACTTCCAGATATGTTCGGCACGAGCTCGAGTATAGTATGAGCTGTGCTGCCATCGAACATCATAATCATGATTATTGGGTTTAATATGTTGTTAATTGTTTGCTCATTAAGTCGTATTTAAAGTATAATGCAATGCGTAATATCAAACGAATAATTGTTTTTCGACGGGCCACGCAAACCGGCATCTAAGCTTGCTGGAGACTGTTTCCGGGACAGACTCCTCTGGTCGTAATAAAAATTATCCCTTATCCCTAGGAACAAAATTTCCTTACGCAAACTATATCATTACGTTCACAAAATTTCTTCACACTCGCACACTTTCATCGCACTCGCACACTTTCATCGCACTCGCGAACTTTCTTCACACTCGCGCACTTTCTTCACACTCGCACACTTTCATCACACTCGCACAATTTATTCACACTCACGCACTTCACACTCGCACAATTTCTTTACACTCGCACAATTTAATCACACTCACGCACTTCACACTCGCACAATTTAATCACACTCTCGCACTTCACACTCGCACACTTTCTTCACACTCGCACAATTTCTTTACACTCGTAAACTTTCTTCACACTCTCACAATTTCTTCACACTTTGCTTTTACTTTAGCACTATTTCTTGCGAATTCTTTTGTACTGATTATTAATTATAATATTCTTCCGTTACATTAGCACTGTTTCTTAGCACTTGAAGCGTTTCATCTCTCGAAATCTTTTTGCTGGCTCCATTCTCATTATTATAATTCGGAATCCCTTCGTACATAATTAATAAAAATTTTAATGACTCGGCTTCTTCCCTTATGCTGCTTTTTACTCTCAACGCCAGGGCTAAGTAAGACTATTCCACAGAATTATTTCACGTGACCGTGTCACACACGTGACCGTGTCACACGTGTCATTTTACGATACCATTCTGCGCGATCATTTACGTAGATATCCCACATGGCCGTTCCACTACACCATTCCACATGACCACACCATAAGGCTGTTCATCAACACCATTCCACAAGACCTTACCACATGACTATTCCACACGACAACACCGCAAGACCGTTCCACTATACCATTCCATAAGATTATACCACATGACCACACCACAATACCATTCCTTGACCATTCCTCATGACTATTCCACTAGACCATTCCATAAGACCGTTCCACAATACCATTCCACTAGACCATAACACTAGACCACACCACAATACCATTCCATATGACCATAACTCATGACTAGACCATTCCTCACTAGACCATTTCAAAAGACCGTTCCACAATACCATTCTACATGACCATACCTCATGACCATTCCACTAGACCATTCCGAAAGACCGTTCCACAATACCATTCCACTAGACCATAACACTAGACCACACCACAATACCATTCTACATGACCATACCTCATGACCATTCCACTAGACCATTCCGAAAGACCGCTCCACAAGACCATGCCACAGACCCCGGGTTCCTCAGTCTGGTAGAATTTTCCCTGCTTATCACTTCTTTTGGAACAATCGGGCGGTGCTAATGAAGATCTGTGGCGGCCGCTGGATTAGTTGATTACTCGAGGGGAGCCTGAGCTGCAGGAAATGGCTCCTATACGAGCCTCGATGTAGACTTTTAGCAGCGGCAACCTCGTTATTTTTAGGCTTCCGCCTACTACCGAGATCACAACACCAGCAAACACGATCCTAAAACCCGGTCCATTTTTGTCGATTGTACCACCTAACTCGATGATGCTGACCGTTTTAGGATTGTAATCGTTTTTTAACACCCGGTAACTTCATTTGACAGTAGCGAGATGGAATCTTTTAGATTCCTTTGCAGTGCGGAAATTAATTTTTTATATCACGTAGTTGCATGCAATCGAATATATCTCATTTTTAACGCTAGCCTCAACTCTTCCTTTGGTAATGACCAACCGCTGCGCTCAGTTATCGAAGGCACACATTAAAAGCAAGAATGATCGCTTAAGTGTAATTAATTTTTGATGTGCTCGATTAGTTGCATTTATGTATTATTAAACAAAATACATGTAAACATTTTCAATTGTTTTCACCAATCGCTCTCTTCGCACTTCTACGTAGATACGTTTTTTTTTTGTTCCACGGCAAA